TCCTGACAGTAGTACATGAGACCTTGTGGATTCTTGCAAATGCCATTATTGAGTACGAGGAAGAGTCAAAGGAACCTGATTGTTTCACAGATTATCTGTCTCGTGTACCACTGTCAGGATACAGTGAAAGTTTCAGCAAAAACTACAAAAAGACAAAAACTTATTTCATAAAAGTTTCTACTGCAGCTTTAATCTGCAGCTGAAATCCAAACTGACCCGGTGATTGGGTCGATATAGCAGCGCCACAATACATGTATAGTGTAGAAACCCTTTTACATTGTCTCTCCAAATTCATCAAATATGGTCGTTTGGTCAGTGGCCTTAAGCTCCAAACTAGGACGCTGTATGTACCCCCTAGCATCAGTTTTGCACAAGCAGGGCTCCGCAGTCAAGTTAGCAATAATAAATATGCACCATCAGGTTAAGAATTTTATGAGTTTTAAAGGTTGCAGTTTGGTAAGAACAACTACTTTGTTAGGTTAAGGAAAAGATTTGGGTTTGGGTTAGAATAAGCACGTAATGTGAGTAAGAAGTTAATGTTGACTTTTGGTTTCACACAGGACATGAACAGGGGTCACCCGGGTGAAAGTCCTGTGTTTTTTCTGACCCGTCTTTGTCCAGCAGTTCAGTTTCTATTTATAGATTCTGGATTTTATTCAAAGAGAGCAATTTCCATGTGTTGAGTGTTAAAACATGTCTGGAGAGGATCTGTATTTGGTCTGATTTTGGTCTTTTCATAGGATTTGTTAGAAAAACATCTAATAATGCCAAACTTTAATCATTTTAATTCTGGAGACAGAATATATATAGTATGTGTAGTAAACAGCATATTACCTTTGTTATTGTTGTGTAGCATATCCAAGCGCAGTGCACTGGATGACATAGGGGTTAATTCCTACTAGATGGATAGAGACAAGAAGTGTGGCAGCCAGCATGGACTCTAAGGAAGGTGGTCTCCACCTCTGTCATTTGGTGTTTTTGTTGACATCCCTGGATATCTGTCTCCTTCCCAGAGAGGATTAAAGAGTTAGTGTGCATGTGTGAGACATCCAGGAGTAATTAGCGAATGAGATGAATTGTTCTGTGTTGTGACAGACCGCTGATGGTCTGAGAAGTACTTGAGCAAACTCCCTCCTTTGTCACTGATTTTCTAAGTTCCCTGTCTCAACTCTTTTAAGCTGTGTCTCAAATGAGCTGAAAGCATCACAGGCAATGAAACACACACACACACACATTAGCATCAGGCCATAAAATATTTAATAAGGGGGGTCTCGAGGGCCCTCAGAATTGATGGATCAATGAGAGCGCCTGAGCACAAAGTAATAAATAGTCCATTTTAGAGTGTTCATCCATCTACATTCCTGGGTCCATTAAATGAATATGCACTGGCAAAAATCTCCAATTGGTATTGCACACACATACACATATATATACGTCTGTCTTCTGGTGATCACAGATCAGTGGCCTGGGATTGTAGCGGTGTTTATATGGCGAGTAAACAGAGGACACCTGTACACAAGGCTGTTGAGGGAGGGCGGATGTGCTGTTGGCTGCATGAATTAATGAAACCTCATAAGGTTCTGAGATGACTCTTGACAGTGTTTACTTCACCCGATCAATGCTTGATACTGATCTGCTGGGCCTCCTTGCTCTGTAAGCCAGCGCCTGAGCTTCCAGCAGTCAGTCTCCTCTCTCTGGAGGGGGCTGCCCTCCGTCTGCATCATTTTTAATATTTTGATAGAAATTAACGCAGTGGTTTCTTTCAGGGATGCAGAATCCCTACAGGTATGGTGTGAATATTTCTTGAGTGTTTAAAGATTGATATTGGATAGTATTAGGATTCAGACAGACACTGGATGTATTGTGCAAATACTCAGCTAACTACTAAAACTGAACTTTTCTTTGAAGTTTTCAATCGTATCCTCAGATGTGCGTTCTTGGCAGGACTATAAAAGTTTCTGTAATATTTAAACCATGATAAAATAGAATTGTCTTTGACTAAAAATCAAAATAACGTAATATATATAATATCAGTGATTGCACATGCATTTTGTGATGAAAATGTTGCAATCGGTGCAGGTTAAGAGCTTCATATTAAACCAACATGTGGGCCGTCCTGGTAGCTTACCTGGTAGAGGTGGAGTCCTTGTGGCCACGGGTTCGAGTCCGACCTGTACCCCTTTGCTACATATCATTCTCTTTTTACTGTCACTTCCCCATTTCCTGACACTTTTTAGGTATAACTATAACTATAAGTTTAATAACTTATGTACGTTACTTAAAGGTCCAGTGTGCAAGGCTTGGGGGAAGAGAGGTAGTTGCAATATGCAATTACACCACTAGATGCCACTAAATCCTACACACTGAATCTTTACATAAAGACATTTTTTACTTTTCTTACGTGGGACACTAACAGTGTTTTCCTGGGTTAAAGTCCTGCATTGGAGCCATTTATCCGCCCCACCACCTCCGCATGTGGACTTTCTCACTCTCTATAGTTCAATAACAGCCACGCCAGCCAGCCAATGACGCTAGAGGGCCACTGACCAAGTGGCAATATTAGATGGCTGGTAGTAAGACTAGGTTAGGGTTAGGGTTAACCATGTCAGAGGTTGCTGATGCTGATTATTGACTCAACTAATTATTTTACTGTCCTTTCTATGTTCTGTCCCACAGACAGCAACTTCGTTTTGGGAAATGCCCAGGTGCAGTCGCTCTACCCCATCGTCTACTGCTCCGACGGGTTCTGTGAGCTCACAGGTTACGCCCGTGCCGAGCTCATGCAGAAGAGCTGCGCTTGTCACTTCCTGTATGGCCTGGAAACGAGTGACCAGTTAACGGCCCAGATCCAAGGAGCCCTGGATGACAGGAGGGAGTTCAAGACCGAGTTGGTGTTCTACAAGAAGGAAGGTGAGACTACAGGAGGAATCTGTGTGCGTGTGCATGTGTGTGTGTGCACATTCATCTGTTTACTGTTACTTTGGTTTCACATTTACTTTGTGGAGACTAATGAGACTTGAACTTGAAAATAACTTTTGTTATATTTGCTGAAACTTTTAGTACATGAGACAGATCATTTCCAGGTCATTATATTGACGCTATAATGGCCTGGGAATGACTATCTCTCTGTCTTGGCTCTGATTGGTTGTTTTCATTCAGCACAGTGGATTCTACCATTAGGAGCACTAGGGCGATTATTTATTACCTTTTTTACAAGAATTATCTGTTCTCATCGTACTTACTGTCAAGGATATAGTGAAAGTTTCAGTGAATATGACAAAAGTTATTTTTATAAAAGTTACCTACTGCAGCTTTAATGGTAAGTCATCTAGGTTGTCTGCTGTACAGGTTTGGATGTGTGAGCTGAAGAGCTGCAGACAAACACTGTAAGAATGGCAGAAGAAGCAACTTAATTTGACTTTGCAGGAAGTAATTTGATATAAATTGATATTTGACATAAAATATCTGTAAATGGAGTCATTAAGTGAAAAACCAAGGCTGCTGGCACATTGTGTTGATTGTCTAGATCTTGCCATACATACCTCTTCTACATGTTCCATGTACATTTTTAATATTTCCAACATCTTGTGTCCATTCACATCCTACTTCACGTCATCTGAAAGCTATTCTAAAAGTGTTTTTATTCTATAATACTAGAAAAAAATGCTTTGCACTCTCTAAAGAAACTTTTGCATTCTCTCACAAAACTTTTTCAAGAGTACCTGGCATGTGCAGTTAGCTGTGCAGTTGCCACATGTGGCAGAAAAGGAGAGAAGAGTCTGTGTTAGATTACTGTGCTAAAACACTTCAACTTCATAACTTCATAAAAAAATTTTCCCCAGCCGTCTATAGCTCTGTAGTATTCTATGAGGATAAAGAACACATTTAGTTAGTAGATATGCTAGTGCTGCAATTCTGGCTGCCCATACACCACTTTTTTTGGTTTTTAGGAAAGCTGTCACGGTGGTTACATATAAACTGGAAGTGAACCCTCCAGTGATTTAATTGGACCTGTAGCTGAGAATTTGCATCATGTTATGTGTTCTAACAGGCACAGAATTTTTCATGCTGGATGTGAATCATTTCCGAAGTTGTAAGACAAGCCCACATTCATGTTCCTCTGTGGACAGTTATTAAACAAAAGCTTTTATTTGTCTCAAGACCACTGAGCAAAGCCCTTAACCCCTCAACAATGGCTCAAGTGATCCACAGATCAGATCCACTGCTCCACTTAAGTAGCCAACAGAACACACTATGATTGTATTGTGCAGCTGTGCGGAGTTTTTATCTAGCTATGTAAATCAATCAATCAATCAAATCAATGAAAATTAATGTCATGATTATCTTGGCCAAAATAATTGCAATACACATATTATTATATATATACATACATACATATATTGTCATGCTAATCATGACAATATACTTCATACTTATACTCATATAGAAACATTTGCACTAAAACATACTAGAATCACTTGACCTTAATTGTTTTAAAGGATTAGGTATTTGGAATGACTGGAAAGATGTGGGCTCCCCTTTTTACCCTTGTTCAAAGTTAAGCAGGAAATCAATATACAACTGTATGCTGATGAGACAAATTCTTCAAGTCAAGCCATGTAAGAATATTCATGATTATCACAATATTAGAAAGTGTCTGTTATTGATATACGCGTTAATATAGTCTCATCCCATTATTTCTGTCAGATTCCCCTTGAAGGGAGCAGAAACACTACTGCTTTTATCCACACTGGGCACCAGAATCAACACAAAATGAAAGTTCCTTTGTTGTTGAATTCATGTATGACTGCTGACATAGTATGCATATTATGTAGTGTAGATTGAATGATATTCTAGATTCGTTCAATTGATTAAAGTATGAACTCCAGTAATATGAGAGTGCATTCACTTCTTCACTTTCTGAAGCTTTAGTTAGCTGAAGGAAGAGATGAGAGAGAGAGAGAGAGAGAGAGAGAGAGATCTTGAGGGAGAGGAGGGTTGTGAAAGACTCCACTATTTATTAATTATATATAAATCAAAGTTGTGATTTGTGATGAAAGGCAGAAAGGGGAGAAACCGAGGAGGTAAAGACAAGACACAACGGCTCATTCCACAAATGAAAAATAAAAGTGAGAGTCACGTATAGATGGAAGAGAGACAGTGGGAGACTTGGACACATCTGCTCCTCTGAGATATAAGCCTATAACAAAGAGCAACAGAGGGTTATACAAGCTTGTTTCTCTCAAACACACACAAATAACAAATTAGAAGTGTTTCATGCTTTTATCAGCTCTCCACGAGCTCACATTAGCATTTTAGCTGTACTCCAGGGGAGCAAGGAAAAGAATAAACACATTTATATCCAGTTCCCTGACTTAGATCACCATAGCTCCCTTACCAAAGCCTGGGGCACAATTCTAAAACTGTATTTTGCATTACATACTCATAACATATTCATATCAACATGATTTCAGTCCACCATGGATCACAGTATGGAGTGTGGACTGGTAGATGGAGAGGTGCCAGTTCTCCTCCTGGGCAGTGCTGAGGTGCCCTTGAGCAAGGCACCACACCCCTAACTGCTCCCTGGGCAGCACATCACTCCACCATCTC